TATAGTCATTATAATTAACTTTCCAGCAATATCAACAGTATCGTTATGTTTGTGATCCTGGTTGGTTAAATTCTGCTCAAGTGTTCAGTGTTGTGGATATAAACTAAAAGCATTTGTTCAAATGTTAGCTTTGCTGTAATATCATGTTTGTTACAGCAGTTATGACAAAAAATACTCTTACTGTCATAAAATTGATGTGAGAGAATGATTCGACTTTTTATTTCTGATTTTTCTTGAACTCGTATGACAGCTGAATTTTTCAGAACTTTGCAACTCAGTGTTCTTTAGATAACATTAATGTTCTTGCTCTGTGTACTTAAAAAAACATTGCAGCAAACAAAGGGGAGATGTATCTATAAAACTAACTAAAATCATGTTTGATGTGTGTATGTTTCACTCTGCAAAAGCCTTGCTTTCCCACCCCCAACCCCAACCACCCATTGCCAGATAAACAGTGTAGATGTTTGTATATCTGTGACAAGCCAAACATTAACCAGATGACATTACAATAAATTACTGTTTTATCCAGCATGCATCTTATAGTCAGTTATTTACAAAGGCAAATTGACAAAAAAGGAAGACTGTTGCATATCTTATGTTGATAAATAAATGATAAATAAATAGAGTTTGACTTTGCTGTATCAGGCGCTTCCAGATGGGCCCCTGCTGTCACCCAGCCTGCTCCTGCTTTTAAAGGGACAGCTGTCCACAATGGGGAGTTCAAGGACATGAGCCTCACTGATTTCAAGGGCAAATACCTGGTCCTTTTCTTCTACCCACTGGATTTGTGAGTATTAATAAGAATAATTTTCAGCATGAGATGAAGTGAATAAAATGTTGGCATTAATGGCCTGAGATTTTCCAGTATTTCTGCAGATCTGCTATGATTTTTAATAAGTGCTTTTTATTTTTTGTTACACCACAGCACATTTGTGTGTCCGACAGAAATCATCGCATTCAGCGACAAGGCCAACGAGTTCCACGATGTCAACTGCGAGGTGGTCGGAGTGTCTGTGGACTCTCACTTCACCCACCTGGCATGGATCAACACGCCACGAAAGGTACATTCAGTGTAATAGTTATTCAGTAAGCGGCACACGGTGCAAGGTTCAGATCACTGTGTGTTCTCTATTCAGTCTCTGAAGTAGAACTTCAAGGAGCCTTTAGTAAATGACTGACCTCAGAGTGTGTTGTGCTTGCAGCACTTTGCAGTACCGTGAAATCATCTCAAAAGCTGTTATTTCTCAAACACTACTAGAAGCACTATGCAGCGTTTGTGTTCATGTATCTTTTTATGTTTTGTCAGGCTGGAGGCTTGGGAAATATCCACATCCCTCTGCTCTCAGATCTCAACAAGCAGATCTCCAGAGACTATGGTGTGCTGCTGGACGGTCCAGGAATTGCTCTGAGGTGAGTTCATTATGTGCTTTGAAACAAGTATCAGTCCACAACTCCCTCACAGTACTAAAATAAAAAACCAAAGACATAAAACACAAACCAGTAAAAATGTGCACAGCTGTAATAGGAACCCTAACAGAATCTGATAACATGAATCATGGGGATTACTTTTAATAGAGCATATTAAACAGTTTTCCTTTGATTTTTGCCATCCAGGAATGTCTCTGCCAGACTGTTTGTGTTTTGTAAAGTTCTATCCTCACGTCTTTTATTAAATTTTATTTTACATGGTCAGTTTGTATAAAGGCTTTAAATGGTAAACGTCATACATTCACACCCACAGTTCCACAACTCTGTCATCTATACCCAAAATAAACTTAGAAAAAGCTCATTTCAGGAGACCACAGAATACAGTAGTAGAAAACGGTGGATTTGAGAAAAACTCATCTTACTTACCTACCTAATTGGAAGCACACTGGATATAACTTTTTTTTAAATGTCTGGAAAAGTGACTAATGTTGCTGCTACTGTCATCATTGTTGATTTAAATACCCAGAGGACTGGGTATTTTTAATTTGAAGACAGGGAATATTATGCAACAGGCCTCAACCCCCTCAGGCTCAAATTAAACTTTTTGTTGCTAATGCACAACCAAGTCCTGCAGTGGTACTTCGGAGTAAAAAAACACTCATAAAATATGTATGTGGGGTAATCAGGTTGTTAGTTTTTAACTGTTGCAAATCGGCAACGCCTGCCTTGAGAGGGTTAAAGTGTGTTTTCTCTCATTTGGTGGGTTTATCCAGATGTATCACCAAGTGTTGCAATAGTGCCTGTAACTGGTCTTTTATGTATTGCTCAATATTGAAGGGAGAACCTAACACTGTTTATGAGCTTGGGGAAACCTGCAGTCAGCTGAAACTGAAGAAGTCACTTGGATGAGTGACGAAATGTTTCTTCCACTGAAAATGCTACGTCCAGATGAACAAGGATTTCCTTACCTGGATGAGCATGCATCGAGACCTAAACTTGTTTAGAAAGATGTCTGATGTTTTGGTCTTTTTTCCTTTAGGGGACTCTTCATCATTGATCCAAATGGCGTGGTGAAGCACATGAGTGTGAATGACTTGCCGGTGGGCCGCTGTGTTGAAGAGACGCTTCGTCTAGTGAAGGCCTTCCAGTTTGTGGAGACTCACGGGGAGGTGTGTCCGGCCAGCTGGACCCCTCAGTCCCCAACAGTGAGTACACCTGGGCTCTGTTTCAGTCCATTCAAGACTATAACAGCTAGTGTGGATTTGATACCATACACATTTTTTTTCCTCCTTTCTCAGTTTTTGTAATGTTTGTTTTTCAGATCAAACCAACACCAGAAGGATCCAAGGAGTACTTTGAAAAAGTCAACTGAACACTTCACAGCAGACTCAAGGCTTAAACGTGGTACAAATCTAGAAATATACTGAGTTTACACATGCATTTACTCATAACATCTGGATGCTCTAATAAACAAACGCTTTATAAACCACAGCTCTTTGTCTTGAATAATGCACCAGACCACAGAATAAAGTGGTCTTCATGTTTGTCTTATTTTTCCTGCCATAACTTCATCATCTTAGCTGCCTCTCCTTAGTGGTCCAGCTAGGACTATAATGCTGTAGTCTAGAAATAAATGCTGTAGACTGTTCTAATCAGGTTCAACAGTATTTACCATCAAAGTCAAGATCACGCTTTAATAACCCCTGTACATAAACATGTTTATTTTCTTTTTACAGCAAGTTAATATGGAGGTTCAAAATGTCTAATCAGACATTGGTACACAACATGAGGTGCCAAAATCATCTTCAGTGGGGGAGAACTGGAAATCAAGAGAAAAAAGAAGGCAATGCCACTTCTCATACAAGTAGGGTACATACTGAATTTACACAAAATGGGGGGAGCATTTGAAACACACTGCAGCACTGTGTGTGGTTATGAAAACATCTAGCTTTAAGTGTACATAAAGTTGAATTTGTACAGTATGTTTGCAGAAACAAAGCCACTGCCTCTTTCCGTTGAACATTCACAGACGATGTTTCGGGTTAGGCAACAGAACGTGATGGAAATGGCTTACCAGAAGATGTAGAGCCTTTTTAAGGCTTTAAATAACATATGGAATCAAAATAAAGTGTCTAGAAAATCATCAAAATGCGCCTTTCCATTTTGAAACCAAGAAGATGCCAACAATCAGGAAAAAGAAAAAAAACTGACAGCGCTGAAGTGAAATCTGATTTGATGATTTGGTGAAAACTTCATGCAATTTCAGGCAAGATGTAACAGCGCCACCAGCCCCACCCCAAGCACCAAACAAACAAATTGTTTTAACTGAACGATTCATTTTTGGAAGAAAGGAAAAAAACAACACCCTGTAGTAAATCTGTACAACGAAAATACATTTGGGATCTACATCTAAAGGTACATTATTATGGTTATATACACTGCCCACCATCCATATATTATCTTTACATGTAGACTTCATTCAAACCCAAACATTTAGAAAACATAAAACTAAACAGATAAATGGGATCACATCAAACATCCATTTTTAAAAAACCAGTTCTTGCTGTACCTCAGCTGTTGCTCAGTCCCTCTGTTCTTTGTCTGTACAGTAAACTACAGCAGGACTAAAATCTCTGGACTGGATGGACTGCTACCTTAACAGGGAGTTAAGAATAATCGAAATTGGTGAATGATTATTGGGTGATCATTTTTAATTATTTTTTTTTTTGTGGAAACCACTGGGGAAAAAACAATGGGAACAACCAATTGTACTATAGTAACAATAATTTGAGTGACTTCATGAATACAAAATAGACTTCAGAGTCAGAACACAAACACAAACCCAACTCTCCAATATTCTGACACAACAGAACAAAGGCTTTCAATACACTCAGGCCTCTTCACTGAAGAGAGCTACACTATTCCATCAATATCACATGTACTGTATGTTCTCTGGTCTCAGGTGGGACTGGGTTGGAAAAGAGAAGCCATGTCAGCCTTAAACATTCGCCGCCTCCCTCAACGTTTGTTTGAAAGCAACTGATAAAAATCAAAAGTTGTGTTTGATATCTCTTCCGCAGGTCTCCTGTTGTTCACTATTGAGTTGCGGCGTTGAAAATCTTTCAGAGGAAAAAAAAAATATGGAAAAACTACATTGTACAAAGTGAGATTCTCACAATCTCTTTGCAAGAAAGAAAAGTAATAAAGAATGACTTGTGCCCGCCGTCTTTTGGGATACGCCTAGGCAAATCCATTAACATCCCTGTGTTGATGCTGCTTCACTTCTTAGTCAATTTTCACATTTGTGTAAATCTTCCTCACAAAGGCACTTGTTCCCATGTATCCTACGGCACCTGAAAAGCAAAAGATGATCTGTGAGCAAGTTGCTTTTTGTTTGACAGCACCAGGTATCAAACTCTGCTGTTACTTTGCAGGTAAATCCATCACGAGACAGGATGATTACTGGTGAGGTATCCAATAAAGGTTTTAGCAGAGAAACGCACATCCCACATCTACAAAATGAGCATTCAGACACACAGACAGCCCAGGAGGCAGTGTACTACCTGATGCAGATCAGAGAAAGCTCCACAAAGGTCCTTCAAGGTACATGAGTGTCAGCCTTGGCTTATTACTCTTTCAGCTGAAAAATGAGTTTGGCTTGCAGCTGGTGGGGAAAAGACTACTTAGCTGCACTTAGAGCTGAATAACCGATGTAGAAAATAAGATTTCTCTAAAAAGATAATTGGTTTCATGCAAGAACTACTTGTATGTACATACGACTAACATTTTTCATACTGAATAAGCCTAAATCATACAGTCAGTGTGCTTTTCTCCATGTTTGACTCAAGCCCAACTATGAATGAAATTTCAGGTTAACATCGTTTATAGGGAGGTGTGAAAAGCTTTTATTAGATTGCTGACCGTAGCAGCTGTCTACTGTACTTCTATAGCCCCCTCCATTGTACCACCTGCTGTTTAATATTTTCACGTCCATCTCTATGACTGTCACGTCCCCTCGACCACCACCTGTCTAAGCCGTAACCCACTTTCTGTTTGAGCAACAATTCTCCTTTATTCCTGTCGCAGTACTGTGCACGTCTAACAATAAAATGTAAGCAGTTGTATTAATATCTTCAAATTATTGAGGTCCCCCGTGTCTGCTGACAGACTTCCCAGATTCTCTTGATTTCTGACAGCTAGACTTACAGCTTGATATACAAAAATAATCCACCTGGGATGATAATTTGCAGCAATTTTTGGAGAATTTGCACAAGATCACAAAGGCACTCCTATTCATGAGCAGGTGGCATTCTTCATGTGAAAATGAGCAATTTAGAGGAAATTTGTGCAGGTAAGAGGAAAAGCAAACCTTGCAAGACATGAATTTAAGTAAAACTGTTAAATTATGGAAGCTGCTGCTTCCTGCCTTTAACATTTTTTAAAGGCAGGAAGCAAAAGGCATGTTTCAGTCACTAAAAAGTAAAGCACACTATGAGTAAGATGCAGTGTAAGAACTGTCTCAGTCTCTGTGCTCAGAGGGTGGGGAATGTGATGAGCAAATTGAGAAATCTTGAGCAGAATTTAATGTCAGACTGGATTTTGCTTAGACTTATTTTTTTATGGCGTCACGCCTCACTGGCACAAATAACACTCCTTATTTGTATGTTTCCAATAAAGTGGATGTGTTACCAACATGTGACACGAAGTGAGACGTGGTAGTTGAGATTTTTAGCCCATCATGTATTCATCACATCTATTTATTTCTTTTCTCTTTTGTTTAAACGAACTGTATGTAAAGTCACATAAACACAAAACCAACCCTTTATAAATGAGACCACTGGTGTTTATGCAGTGAACAGCTATTTACATTTGGCAGAACATCTAATAGTTCCTATTCTGAGATGAGTCTTCAACAAACTCTGAGTTTAAAAATAAATTCAAAGTTGATTAACTTTGAGTTTCTTGTTCCAGACCAGCTGAGCGGAGTAAGTTCAATCAACTCTGAGTATGTTCACCCCGAGTTAAGCATGTGAGAGTGGAGAAAGAAAGCCATCATCAATGGAGCTGATACCACAGTTCACTATGGCAACGGGTAAATAAAAAGTGTTATTTAAATCCAGTAAACCAAGGAATATGAATGTGTGTCAGTGTGGACCGTGACAGTCATCTTAAAAAGCAAAGAAGAGAAAAGAGATTTTAATGAGCTTGGTCTGCTGTCACCATCATAGAGAGAATAAAAGTTTGATAACACACATGTGTGTGTGCGTGTGTGAAGTTCAAAGCTGGATCATCACTTACCCGGCTTGAACTTTCATTAAAAGAAGGTTGAATTCTAATTTTAGGTTTGATATTTAAATCTTATTATTTAGCTTTAACCCTACGGGGCCAGAGTGTAGGTGAGAGAAACTGAAGACATAGCAGACTGCAGGGTGGAGCCACCTTCAAGACGCGTTTTTATTAAATTAAAACATTTTTTCCCTCCCTTTCTCTTCTACAGTTTATGAACATTGCGTTGTTTGAAAAAAATATTATCTGGAAAAGTTAAGCCATTATAAATGGATCCAGACAGAATGAACCTAAACTGGATGGGGGCCTGATCTGGTCTGATCTATTCATCCGTTTTGGATCTCTCCTGCTTTGCAAGTAGACTTCGGTCCGTTTGCTAATTTGTTACAGAGCCAATGCCTTTGAGGAAGATCCTGTTCTCTGTCGACCCACTGAGACTGATTTGTGATTTTTTTTGCGGGAAATATGTTGAGATGTGAGATGTTGAGTCTGAATTTCAAACCTTTGAAAATGTAAAAGGTTTGAAGGTTTGAATGTAACAACTGAATCATGTAACAACTGAATCTCAAGCTGTGAACAAATTTCAGCAGATATGTTCAGAATATAGACAGCTTGCAGCTGCATATAAAAAGACACTTTAAATACATTTAGTCCAGTTTTCAGGTCTTAAAATCATAAAATAAAATATTCACCATCTCCAAAATCCCAGCTGTGACAGACATTTCCCCCCCATCAGTGTGGCTTTTACAACACGACAAATGATTGACAACAGATCATATATTATGCATCTTTATACAGATGCAAGCTATTATGCAGATGCATTTAAGTTAAACATTAACTGCTACAGTAATGTTTCAGAGGAACTGACTAAGAGTCTGACTGTTGGATTACTGCCCACAGAGTAAGAAACATGTAGACTACATAGATGTTATTCTGAGCTGTCTGTCTCTATCCTTATATATTGATGAGTGACTGGTTGTAACAGCCCTGATGTGATTTTTTTTCCAACCTAACTTCTAAGGTGGGATTTCACTGTTTCTAAAAACATAAACATCTGCCAATTAAGTTGCTCTTCCATTTGCTCTTAGAGGGACTTTACAAATGAGGAATGAGTGAGTGTCAATCAGCTGGTTTAGGTGCAGAGAAAAATTCAAGAGTTTTTTAGTTCATGATCCGTTACCACGGTAACCAACTTAGTTAACTTT